TGGGGACACTGTACCGTTGTACAAGTTAAGTGTAATATCCAAATAATCTGTAATTTTAAAATTAGTTTGGATATCTAACTTGAATCCAAACTTATCGAATAATCAATACAATCGCCTTTTCTAGGGTTGCAATTATGTACAATAATCATGCTGTCGTCTCGACAAAGGCCATAGTTGCACAGGTCAGTAATAATTTTAATTTTGCTCTACTTAGTGTATTGAGCACTTTTTCGTATCAGCTTAGGTAACTTTGTCGGTGTTTTTTTTTTCTTTTTGCTAGACATTGCAGTGCTGATTGATTATTTTCAAGCAGTACGGATGTTTTTAGGCTTTTCTTTTTTTATTGAATTTCTTCCCCAGATATCAGTTTGTGCAATATTTTTTTTTATTTTCAAATTGCATCATTTGTTTTTTACACCGTCAGTGTAGGTATAAAAATAATAATATATATATATATATATATATATATATATATATATATATATAATATTATAATTATTTTTAAAAAATGGTTCCATCGCTACATAAGAGTTCTCATGTTTCAAAAAAAAAAAGCTAAAAACTTCAATTTCATTAATAGAAATTAAATTATATGAACCTAGCTAGTTCTGTTTCACCCCCAGGCGAATTTTAGAGCGAAAATTCGCTTGAGGATGAAACAGAACTAGCTGAGTAAACTTTTAGTTCTATGATGGCAGTTTGTTTATCTTAGACAATTCACCTGTTTTCCGTATGCGCAAATTTCTTTAAATGACACTCTATTCAATCGATTACCTGTTGGACTGAGTATTTGTCTTTCTGTCATCTTTACACTTTTATGAACAATCTTTCAAAACCCTTTATTCATCTTCTGACCCACCCGTAATCGATGCACTGTGCAACCTCAGGATTTCATATACACACGTACAGACATGTTCATAATGTGACCGCTGTCCATTTTCGCGGTCTCATCAAAAAAAGAAAAAAAAATGAAGAAAAATAATAGCCGTCAACTCGACAGACGGACGTGGCGTAAAACGAATAAACGATTGGATGATAAAACGCAAACTAAGTGTCCCGTTAACCTTTCCATTGATACAACAGTATGAACACATTCTCATCCTTAATGACAAACAAATTCATCAATAATAATCCGCGAGAGGAACAAGTCCGTGCGGAGTGATTGATGGCCCAATAAATGCCACATCGGCGAAGGCTGAGGTGGAGCTCGTTAAAAAGTTATATATCTCCCTTGCGCCGATGAAACGAAGTGAGATTCTCGCTTGTGGTTGGTTGGCGATTTAAACTACAAGTCCGTCGACTGGCATTGGTTTATGCCGGTTTGTAGCCCTTTTGGGAAATATTCAATTTACGGATTATGTCGAATATCAGGAATTAAAATATATAAGATGTTTGTCTTTTATTCCGTCGTTTGTTTCTTTAAAATATTTTTCATGTTTTGAAATTTTTTCTTTAATTTGTGACTGGAAGAAATTTTATTTATTTAAAAAATTTTCTTTGAATTTTTACTTCGAAACAACTTTTATATGCTTTACTTAGGTTTCCCTTTTCTTTTGTCGATAGAATATTCTTTAAAATGGTTTGCAGTTCGAATATTTCTAGATTTAAAGTTGTTTTTTAGGTTCACCTCAAAAAATGAGAAGCTTTAGAATGAATAAATTTTTTCAATTATAAAATAATAAGAATTTTAAAAAAGAACGAAAAGGCAAAGGAAAGAAGGTATAAAAATAAGGGTCACGAAAAAAGAAAGAACCAAAAAAAGATTTTTAAAAGGAAAATAAAAGAAAGATCTTTAAAAGAAAGAAAAACAAAGAATTTCCAGAAGAAGAAGGAAAAATCAAAAGAAAAAAACAAAAAAAAGCTTTGGAAAAAGAGATAGTTTTTTTTTTTTTTAAGCGTTTCACCCCAAGCAAGGCGGGAAACCACTAGGACGCAAGGGGTTACAGAAGATTTGGAGCAAGATCAGATAGGAGTGATAGAGGAAAGGATGAGCAGAAGGATAGTGGATAGATTGAGGAGAAAGAAATAAAGATATAAAAAAGAAGGTTTTGAAAAGAGAAAGTTTCTTAAGAAAAAAAGAAAAGAAAAGAAACAAAGACAAGAAGGTTTTGAGAGAAAAAAGATGTTCAAGAAAAAGAAATTTGAAAGAAAAAGAAAGAGAAAAAAAACCTTGCAAAGAGATAGAAGGAAGAAAGGAAAAAAGAGAAAAGGAAAGATTTCCTAAAGGAAGCTATTTACGAAAAACAACTTGAAAAACAAAAAGACAAAAAGAAACACCTTAAAAAATAGAAAAGAGTAAAGATGGAGTAGGAAAGAAAGAAAAATGGAGACTGTAAAAGGAAAATTACGTTACACTGTATCAAGTATAAAGCGACAGAGATAAATGTTTGTCAACTACTGAGTTCGATCCTCACTAAGGGCAACACTACTATTGACCTTTCCCCAGACAATGTAAACTTATAGTAGTAAATAATTATAAAATGAAAGAGAAGTGATTTTATCCTGTAGTGTCATGGTACGTATAATGGGGTCTTTGACGGTGAAGGTCGTTCGATTCGGGAGTGTGTGTGGGTTGCAATAAAATGGAGGAGAAAGATGCTCATTTAGGAAGACCAACGCTAAGTCTCGCGTAATTTGGACACTGCAAAAAAATAATCTGTGATCTGACGGTAGTTTTAGAAGAAAAATGGCGCCTGGGAAGAGAAGAAGATTATGAAGTAGAGGAACATGACCAAGAGGCATAATTCTGACACTTGGCTTGAGAGACTGGAAAAAAGCCATTGAAGAGGGGAGAAGGAATGTTTCAAGAAGAAAGAAAAAAAGAAAGAAAGAAAGAAAGGAAGGAAGGAAGGAAAGAAAGAAAGAAAGAAAAAAGAAGGAAGGAAGGAAGGAAGGAAGGAAGGAAGGAAGAATTGTAAAAGTTTTCATTTCAATCCAAGAAAGAAATGAAGTGCCAAAGAGAATATTTTTGGTTAGTCTAAAAGAAATAAATGAATGAATGCTTGATAAATTGATTGATCTTTTTTATCAATTGAACGATTTATAGACAGACAGTAAATAGATTCAGACTTATAACAGAAATAAATAGGCTATGATATATATATATATATATATATATATATATATATTGTGTCTCAATACTAAGCAAATAGAACATAATACTGCTTCAACTAATCTCAAACATATTAATCTCCTATATCGTAATCAAATCCATATTAATTATAAACAAGATGAAAATATACTAAAAAAATTAGTAAATACTAATATATCTACGACAGATCCTAGCAAAAAAATTAAGTTAATCATCTACCACACTAAATCTAGTATATCCAACTCAATTATTTGCAATGATTCTTCTCCCCCGGTTAGCGATTTGCAAAAAAACCAACAGAGTTTACAAATTCAAGTGCCATTTGGGAGTTTGTATCTCCATCGGATTAAATAATATTTATGTTGGTCACATCACAAACTCGCATTCACGATGCTTGACACGACATTTGAATGATAACTCTAACATTTTTAGGCATTTAAAAAACAACATGCCTGGCAGCATACACAATTCCGATAGGAGGTAATTTTGGATTTCATTGTGTACTACTACTACTACTACTACTACTCTCTCTCTCTCTCTCTCTCTCTATATATATATATATATATATATATATATATATATATATATATAAATGGTGATACATATATATATATATAAATGGTGATACTCGTTTGAAAAAACCTCGGATAGCTTAACTTGTACTAGAACAAATCAAATGGGAAATAAAAAAAAAAAAAAAAAAAAAAGAAAGAACCAAGAACATTAAAACAAGGCGAAAACAATCGTCAAGTAGCCAGCTTTGCCCTGAAGATCCGTTTAGGTGAAACCTAGGTAGGTTTAACTGGCTCCTTAGGATTACTTGATATATATATATATATATATATATATATATATATATATATATATATATATATATATATATATTAATTTTAATGTTATTCTCTGTAAATTACAAAGAACCAAAATTATTTACGAATTAACAACGTCTCTTAAGGAACTGTGTTCCTGATCAAACCAAATTCATGAATAATAACATTGGTCATACTACTACATGCCTATCTAAAAGACTCACATTACACCTCTCTGACCATAGCTGAATTAGGATTCATTTAAACACATATGGAAACCTAGCAAAATCTACCCGTAACATAATTGTAGAATAATGTCCTCATCCACTTGTAAAAACGATTAAGAAAATGGAAGCACTAATAATAAAAAGACATTATTAAATAACATCAACTATGAACATGGCTATAGTGTGCTGACCGTGTTTGGAAAATAAATAAAAATCCGATAACTATAGATGCATACATTAAAAACATCCATATATTCAGGTAAAAATGAAAATAAAAACCATCCTTGATAATAGGTAAAAGAATAGCCGAAAGCGCTCGGATATGTAGAACATTTGGACAATTTTTACACACTTTGTGTCCAGGAAAAGAAAACACTTGTTCAAACACAAGAGAAATGAAATAAAAAGCTTAATCGCAGTACCTTGTCTGTTGTCTTTAAAGAAACATGAATAAAAGAGGGATTGCTGCCCAAATACACATCTATCTATCTATCTATCTATCTATCTATCAGCACCAGACTATTTCTATCTATCTATCTATCTATCTATCTATCTATCTATCTATCTATCTATCTATCCCAGACGATCTATCTATCTATCTATCTCTATTAATATCCATCTATCTATCTATGACGAAAGAGAGATAGATATTTCTAGAGATAAAAAGAAGAAAGAGGAAGATGGATTTTATTTGGAGAAAATTGCGTGTCATTTAATTCTTAATTAATAAACGTTGAGGTGTAACTTGTCAGTACCTCTTTCAGCCTCTTTCAGCTTCATCCTCAAAATCTCGCGTTCGGCTCTCGATTGATGGTATGACGTCACTTGTGCGTGCTCACTTGGCCGCAAAATTCTACCTGATAACAAGAGCCGATGCCAGGCCCAAGGTAGGGGTGGTTTGCCTCGTGCAATTGACGAACGACGCTAGCAATCATAAAGCAATCAGCGCACCCCATTCAAAACGTGATGTGCAGGTGGAGGGGGTGTCTGTGGTTGGGGGGTGGAGCGTAAAACATTATCGGGGGAACGGGTCGGTTTTGGAGTTGGAGTGAGATAAACCGAGAAACTCAAGATGTGAACAGGAACTTTATCAGAAAAGAAAGTGTAGAGAAAGAAAAAAAAATGGATTGCAAGTTAGAATGGGCGAGAACAGATCGAAGATCAATGGTTGAACGAATCGTTTGATTTTCCCTGAATGAGATAGCTCGATAGATCGCGCCAAGATTCAAACATTTTCTCGTTAAAAACTGTACTGACAGCAAACGTGTAGGAAGACTGGGCAGTGTTATTTTATTTTTTTTTATTTTTTTGTCAATTAGGACCTGGCTCAAAAATTACTATTCCAAATTCGATTTTTTTTTTATTCAGAAGCAAAATCCCGACTATGTCTGCCATCACTCAGTTTTATAGCCAGCTAGATAGATAGTTTGCTAGATAGATCGACAGATTAGATGACATAAAACCACGACTTGGCAGTTATGGAGATTTTAGTGTCAAAGATGTTATAGCCTGCTTCATTACTAATGTAATTGTGTATTTCAAGTAGACAACAATGAAGTCTCAGTTATCTCCCTTTAACTCAACTCTCGAAGTTTTTGTTCACCACTACAGGTATTGAACTCACAACTCTTTGGGAAGCAACTGAGACATCTGGAAACGGCATGGCACGCGGAACTAGAACAATCTACCGCGGTGGACGAAATAAAGGGTTAAGTTTGAAATTCCAAACACCTGAAGAACGCCGGAGCGTACAAGAGTCGAAACGTCGTGAACTTGTCAATAAAGATGAGCACAACTGTCCGATCTATGTAAGTAATTACAATACCCCATCTCAGAAATATAATGAACAGACTAATACACGCTGACACATATATACATGTACAGAGAGCGAGAGAGATAGAGAGAGAGATAAGGATAAATAGATGTGGACATAGATGCAAATAGATATGAACAGATTCATTTATATAAAGAGTATAACACTCTCACACACAAGCGCCAACACACACACATATTCACACACAAACGTATATATATATATATATATATATATATATATATATAGGAGGAAACAAATATTCGTACGCACAATTTTTTTTAATTTATTGTATTCCCAAGTAATGAATAAACATACGTTTCATATAACTAACTGTACACTGTGCATAATAACTAAATGTGCACAGAAAACAGAAAAAAATTGATTTAATAGAAATAAATCCCACTTATTCATTTTAATGTGTGAAAATAGTATTCGTACAATCCAAATTTCAGATTTTAAAATTTGTAAATTGCTTTAATACTCTAGATTATTCAAGTGGAATATTCTAGAATGTTCCAATAATGTTATCAGTAGTTATTCTTAGCCTAAAAAATACAAACAGAACATTCTGTTGCTGATATTCGGGCAAGAAGGTTATCATCATGGCAAGAGGTAAAGAATTGATAAATTTGCAAAAAGAACTGATTGTTAAGCTCTGGAAAATCACAGACAACTGTGAATATTCCATTTACTACCATTAATTCATTCACTGCAAGGTATAAAAAATTCAAAACTGTTGAAAACCAAAGAAGAACAAGTGCTCCACGGAAGATTTCTTCAAGATCTTCGATGAAATTCATGCGTCAAATTAAACAAAATCCAATGGTTACTCGTCAAGAGTTTCAGAATGATTTGTTTTCATCAGGAATCTGTGTCACTAAAAGGACAATATGCAAGCAATTCGTAGGAACAATCGAAAGTCACGCTCCCCACGGAAAAATCCACTGCTATTGAAAAGATACAGAGATGCCAGATTCGTTCGTGAACATAAGGATAAAGAAAAATCGTATTGGGAAAGAGTATTATGGACATGCAAAACCAAAATTGAGTTGTTTGGATGTAATTCTAGAAATCATGTATGGAGGAAAGATGGTAATGCCTTCAAAGAGAAGGACTCAGTTCCAATAGTGGAATTTGGTGGTGGCAGCATCATGGTTTTGGGGATGTTTTTTTTCTGCAAAAGGTACTGGCAACATATCAGTAATAGATGGGAGAATGAATGCCACAGCATATCAAAGTATTTTGGAAGCTAATTTAAGGATTTCGGTTAAAAATCTTGAACTTCCTCCTGATTGGATCTTTCAACAAGATAATGAATCTAAGCACATTGCAAAATCTACGAAGAAATGGCTTGCTGAAAATAATGTAAATATCCTGAAATGGCCAAATCAGTCCCCAGATTTAAACCCAATCGAGAATCTGTGGCATTATTTGAAAATTCAAATCGAATCGAGAGTTCGAAGTAACATTCCGGACCTGAAGAAAAATGGAATAAAATACCAAATAAAATTTGCAAATAATTAATTGAGAACTAAAAGAAAAGGTTAGTTGCTATAGAAGTGAATAATGGCTATTCTACAAAGTATTAAATGAAGATTATATCTTCTTTTTGTATTGTACGAATATTTTTTCATCCATTAAAATGGATAAATGAGATTTATTTCTATTAAGTCAATTCTTTTCTGTTTTCTATGCATATTTAGTTATTATGCATCTGTGTACAGTTAATTATATGAAAAGTATCTTTACTCATGAGTTTGAAATACCATAAATTAAAAAAAAATTATGTGCAGGAATATTTGTTTCGCGCACTATATATATATATATATATATATATATATATATATATAGAGAGAGAGAGAGAGGGAGAGAGAGAGAGAGAGAGAGAGAGAGAGAGAGAGAGAGAGAGAGAGAAAAGAAGAGTGGGGCATACGGCTATGTCAAGTCGAAACACCGGATCTCGTTCGATCAGCGAAGTTAAGCAAAGCCGAGTCTGGTCAGAACGTAAACATGTACCCTTTGTGGAATGCCAGGTGCTGTAAGCGTGGGTGTACGTGGGGTGTGTAATGGATATCAGCTCGGAATGAGAAATCGGAGAGCCGAGTTCGAATTCCAGTCGAGTTCAATCCACTCACTTACAAGCAAACACTCTTGGGAAAGGTGCGAATCCATCTTTTCTCCCCCCAGCTATGGGTTATATAGTAGGACAGACTGGTTCCTATAGCATTGATTGGCAAAGAGTCTACTGCAGAAAGTAACGGCAACCTAGTGAGGAAATTCTTCTGCCAAGTCAATCCTGAATTGAAAAACGACATGATCGCCCAAGCGTGTTTCACGTAAGTAAGGAATCCACTACGCACGTTGCAAAAACCAAGATATTTTATTCCAAATTTATTCTTAAGTGCCACGTGTTATTAGCAGTTAGGATAATGGCACCCTCTCTTTAATAATCACTGATTAATAATAACACTGGTCAACAAAAAAAATTGAAATGGTGTCGAGACAGCAAACATCTAATTTGAGGGCGCGAAATCTGAATATGACCTTTTTCTTGGTTAGCAACCGAAATGCTTCCTTTTTTTTTTTTTTTTTAAAAAAAAGAAATATTTATTTTTCATTTGTTTTCTGTATATATGATATTTACTGATGGCAATATTTCTCAAAATAAAATTGTAAATACCTCTCAATTCGTATTTAAACCAACAAATATTGGTCTGCATATTGAGAAATACTGTTTTTGCAATAACAATCAGACCCTAAGTCTTTAAAAATAACATGATTGAATATACCAAGACCAACAAGTATTTTTATTAAATCATTTAATAAACTAACAGCAGAAATAAAACCTTCGTGGACATAAGAACTATGGTAAAAATTTTCTCTTTCTTGATTGTCTGCCATGTCCAATGTTATTTAAGTCCATTTTGATATTCCAGCAGTATCATGTATAATGGAATAGGTGCATTCAATTGAGATGTCTTTAGAGTTTCTTTCCAACTGTGAAAACAAAATGCTCTTAATGTGCTTGGTTTTCTTCTGTAGTGAAGGGATAAAAGTGATGGGATAAATTTATGAATATCAAACAGAAGATTTTAGGGTTTCATTTTGTTGATGTCACCTTAATTATCAGGTTTACTAAACTGATAAAGTTTATCAGTTAATTTGAATTTTGGCGATAAATTGGAAAACTTCGGGACTTCTATTTTAAAATTTTCAACTCAAAAACAATGTTTTTCTTATAAAAGTGGTTTATTTCAGGTGGCTCACATAAATTGCTTGGCCTACCTGAAAATTGATGGGTTTCTACGACCTTTATTAACTAAATTTTGCGATTCGCAAAGATCGTAAATTAATCTTTTTTCCCCCAAAAATGAGCAATTTCAGTCCAGCAAAAACGGTAGCTAACCATGAAAAACAAAGGTCATTTTAGGAATCAGCAAATTAGCTAAAAAATATGTTTTGTTTCTTGTCACCAAAAATCGTGTTGACCAGTGTAATTACTCACATTATTAAACAGTATCAGATTTGATACTGTTATATTCTTTATAAATGCCACTCAATGTCACCGTACATGAACTGAGTACATAGCTATAATTTTATATGGTCATGCCTGGAGGATGTTTTATCAGATAATATCGGATTCTGTATCAATGCCACTAGATATAATAATTATAATATCACCTTCCAGGGTTCGTAAAGTTCATCAAATTTATTCTGTTAATTTAAGTTTGTTATAACTGATATCCCTTGAAAAGGAAGGACTTCACCAGATTTACTTTGCCTAAACTATTTATTAAGGAATACTTACTGAGGTATATAAGGTGGTCAGCTTTGCAATCACCCTATGACCATGACATCCCACTAAACGACGCATCATACTAGGTACGCAACATTAGTACTTGAACGACGGAATATCGAATACCATCTTACTCGATACATACATTTCTTCTTTCGTTTTCTTCTTTTTTTTTCTTTCTTCTTTCATCTTCTTTTCTTCTTCTTCTCTGCCTTTTCTTCTTCTTTTTCTTCTTCGTCTTTTTCTTCTTCTTTTCTTCTTTTACTTTTTCTTCAACTTCTTCTTTTCTTCTTCTTCTTTTTCTTCCTCGTCTTCTTTTTCTTCTCTGCCTTTTTTCTTTTTTTCTTCTTCGTCTTTTTCTTCTTTTCTTTTCCTTCTTTTCTTCTTTTTCTTTTTTTCATGTTCTTCTTTTCTTCTTCTCCTCCTCCTTCTTCTTCTTCTTCTTCTTCTTCTTCTTCTTCTTCTACTTTGTACCATGTCTCTTCAGGACGTTGGTGATCATGCCTCTCCACAATTACTCTTCCTTCTGAAATCCCTTCTAAACCCTGTTCTGCTAACCATTTGCACAAGCTTTTTAATTATGCACTGATTCCTTCTTGCATGTAATTGTGTCCTGTGAGTGTCAAATTCTCCAAGCCTTATTTTCTCATTATGTACCCTAGAACTTCAATTGTATCTTTTTGATTCTAAGTATGTCCTTTTTGTTTCTAAAACTTCGTCGTTGCTCACATATTCGATCCATAGCATTCTGAGCATCTTTCTGGGGAAGTAAATCTCTATTGCTTCAAATCTCTTCTTCATCTGTAAACAGGCTGTCCGTCATTCACGTCCATATAGGAGGACCGATATTAAATAACCGATCAATAATTTTTTGCTTTGTTTCTAACGATGTTTTCCTGTTCTCACCCCATTGGTCCTCTGTTAAAATAATTCTCAGATATTTATAGTGTCGAACTTGATTGATTTTGGGACCTCTAATTTGTAATTGTAACTGATGTCCTGGTAGGGCTTCTAATTCTATCACATATTCGCCATAGAGTAATTTCTATTTTTGTATATTTACTGAATTCGTTTTCTGTACGGATGTTGTCGGTTGTCTGTCTGTATAACTTATGGATTTTTCTAATATTCTTCTAACCTTCTTGTCAAGGTTAACGAGCGGTTTCAACAATATAATATATTATATGAATTCTCCACATTAAACGACATTACACCTGATACGAGGAGAACTGCTATTAGATCCCACTTGATACAACGACATCCCATATCATCGCATTATATAATGTCATTGTCATTAATTGTTTTCCATAACTAATTTGCGTTAAGTTTGTCCTTAAATTGATGGGAATACAAGCAGAATGCAGGGAAAATGCAGTTTTACTAATAAGCTGAGTAAATAGAAACATTTGTATATAGCATATTTCTAATTAAACCCAATGAAATAAGTGAATCTATCTATCTATCTATCTATCTATCTATCTATCTATCTATCTATCTATCTATCTATCTATCTAATCAATGTATATATATATATGTGTATCAATATATATATATATATATATATATATATATATATATATATATATATATGTATATAAAATCAATATATAATCAAATGCATGAATATAGGTAAATGTACGAGCAAGCAAGCGTTCAAATATACAAACATATATATATATATATATATATATATATATATATATATATATATATATATATATATATATATATAATTTGAATAAAACAGACCACTTTAAGGTTCCATTTAATAAATTATTTCACCACAGCCCTTTTAAAAAGGACTGCGGATCATCAGATTTTACTTCCAAACAAAACGCTGTGGTGAAATAATTTATTACATGGAACTTTAAAGTGGTCTGTTTTTATTTAAATTATTTAGTCTGGATTTACATTGAGCTCTCTAGATTTTATCCTCCTTGGGTTTACCCATACGGATTACCTAGTTTTTTCATAAACATAAACTATATATATATATATATATATATATATATATATATATATATATATATATATATATATATATATAAATGTAAGAGAAAAGTGCTCAATGTTAAATACAAAAGATATTTAATATATTAAAAATATATATAATATCTTACATTGCTCCGAATAATGTAAGGTATTATGAATATTTTTTAATATATATATGATGGCTAGCAAGCTATCGGTTTGTCAAAGTCTGTTCATATCGATTCATTCATATCTATCCATTCCAATCTGATCGCATCTATCTATCTATCTATCTATCTATCTATCTATCTATCTATCTGTCTGTCTGTTCATATCTGTCTGTCTGTCTATCTGTTCATATCTGTCTGTCTGTCTGTCTTTCTATCTATCTCTCTGTTCATTTCTCTCTCTCTCTCTCTCTATCTATCTATCTATCTATCTATCTATCTATATATATATATATATATATATATATATATATATATATATATATATGTCTGTCTGTCTGTCTATTTCAATCATTAGTGGAGACTAAATCAAACGATAAGTATCACTTTAAAAGGAAAATTCTCATGACGAATATTTTGAATGTAGAAATAGAAGCAGATCGAGAAAAAAAAATGGCTGAGTGAAAATTAGGAAGAAAAAAGATTTTAAAGTGGAAAAGTCAAGTAAGGAAACGTGTTCGAATCCCGGTAAGGACAAAAGAGAGCCAATGAAAAAATCGTTTAAAGACGAAATGTACTTGACTGGGATTCTACATGGTAAGAGTGAGAAATTTGACATGGTCGGGTGAGAGAGAGAGAGAGAGAGAGGAGGCAAAATTAAAGAATGAGGTATAAGAGAGAGACAAAGGGGGGAAGGCAAGCGAAATTAAAGAGTAATGGTGGATAAGAGAGAGTGAAGAGAATTGAAGGGTTGGGAAAGATAAGAGAGAGAGAGAGAGGGGGGATGGAAATTAAAGGGTGAGAAGAGATGTACAAGGGGGGAAAGAGATGAGAGAGGGGGCGAAATTAAAGGAAAGATGGATAAGTGAAAGTGGTCTAATGAAAGTTGTTTAAATGAAAGGAAGAGGGGACGATAATGACGAGGTTGAGGGAGAGAAACAAAGGAGGAATAGAAAGAAAGATTAAATTGAAAGAGGAGGAAGGGGTAAAAAGCAAAAATAGCGTTAAAAATACAAAAAGAGAGAGAAAGCAAGAGAAAAGAAAGGAAACGAGAGAAAAAGGAAAAGAGAGAAGTAAGGAAAAGAGAAAGGATAAAAAGAGAGAGAGAGAGACAAGAGAAATATTGAGATGCGTATGAAGTAGGGTGAGGGAAAAGAAAGAAAGAAAGAAAGAAAGAAAGAAAGAAAGAAAGAAAGAAAGAAAGAATTATAACCGTCAAAGAGAGAAGAGAAAAGAAAAGAGGCCGAGGTTCCAGAAATCACATCAAACGAATTAGAAAATGAAAAAAAAAAAAGCACTATAAAAAACAAAGACAAATAATAGAAAGAATTTAAGGTGACAAACCGAAAAATGAAAGAAGCAGACGACAACAAAAAACAAACGTGACATGAACTCATAACAGCTAATTTTCACTAATGAACGATTTTATTTCGCTTTCTGATACAAGTGTGAAGAGTTTCAAGAGATGCCAAGGATGGCAGGAGAATGAACGAGAATGGCAAAGCCTTACTCCATGACTTTCAGATAGATCTTAGGACATAAAAACAGAAAAATCAAGAAAGAGAAATTGGTAAAATGCATAGATAGGTAATCAGAATCACATCGACTTTAAATCACAGAGAAAAAAACTGCAATATATATATATATATATATATATATATATATATATATATATATATATATATATATATATATATATATATATATATATATATACAAATACAATAACGAATAGAAATATTTCAACCGACGAGATTTGGCCGTGTTGTTCAGTCTCTGTATAGACTGAGTTCGTGTCGGAATTAGAAACTTAATTTAATTATTTGCTTAATAATAAATAACCGTCTTATTGTGGATCAGTTTTAATATTTTATATTACTGGGATCCACTTGGATTATATACCAAAGGATTTATTACATTTACTATATATATATATATATATATATATATATATATATATATATAGATAGATAGATAGATAGATAGATAGATAGAGAGAGAGATAGAGAGAGGAGAGAGATTGATAATATTAGTGATCAATATACACACATATATATATCTATATAATATATATATATATATATATATATATATATATATATATATATATATATATATATATATATATATATATATATATATGTATGTATATAAATTCCCAAGAGAATAGAATCCAGGTAGAACTCAATGTCCAGGACAAAGTAAAAATATAATAAAAAGCTCAAACATTAATATTCCATGGTTATAATTTATTACATAAATTATAACCATGGAATATTAGTGTTTGAGTATTTATATATATATATATATATATATATATATATATATATATATGTGTGTGTGTGTGTGTGTGTGTGTGTGTGTGTGTGTGTGTGCATACACATACATATATACATATTTTATTACTTAAAGGTTATTTTTAGTGAATACTCATTTTATCTACTAAAATGTATTGAATTTTCAGGCCGGTAGATATAAATAAATAAATATACTGGTGTGTTTACTTAAATATGGATATCCATTCCATTAAAAATAACGTTTAAATAATAAAATATTTCAAATTAATAAATGAAAAATCTATTCCTAAATATACACACATAAAAAAACTCTACTATGTACACAGTAATATATATATATATATATATATATATATATATATATATATATATATATATATATATATATATATATATATATATATATATATATATATATATATATATATATATATATATATATATATATGTATGTATGTATGTATGTATGTATGTATATTGCTAATATTAGTGGGAAGTATACACATACATATGCAAAATAAATATATATACATAGGTGCATACACAACCATGTATATTTTTTGAATTAAAAATTCCAAGAGGATAGAATCCAGGTAGAACTCAATGCGCAGGACAGAGTAAGGATAAAGTCGGTTCAATGGGTTTAATCTCCCTCCTTCTCTCGTCTGTTATCCCACTCTTTAGGTCAAACATTCGTCCCACACTCTCATACTTACACTATCTCTAAATTCTGTTTTTATTTCCGGAGTTGTTTTTTCTATTTTCTTTTTGAATTTGTAGGTCTGATGAATTGGATCGTATTTACGATTCCAATGGAATAAATTATGACCATGGAATATTAGTGTTTAAGCCCTTTTATTATATATATATATATATATATATATATATATATATATATATATATATATATATTAAATAATTAAGAAAGAGACAACTTTAAGGTTCCATCAGTTTTTAACTTCCTTTTTCAGATTTCATTTAATATTTCTAAGTCGATAAACATTAATGTCTCTTAATTTCTTAATTTTAACCATTAATCTTTTTTGCTAGTCAATAAACACATTTATTGTCATTTAAAGAGGAGGTACATTTTTAGAACACCCTATATATATATATATATATATGGTGTTCTAAAATAATAATATATATATATATATATATATATATATATATATATATATATATATATATATATATATATATATATATATATATAATAATAATGTAATTATGTATGTGTATATGGGGACATCAAGCATCAACTGAAATACGTGAGTAAATAAAAATATGTGTGTCTATAAAATAATACGAAAATATAAAATTTTGTTCAGGTTTATAACAGATAAATAAAAACAACGCATGGGCCAATAAGTATACAAACCTTGTCATTAATTAATTATCTATAAATCGATACACTTATACGTATATATATATATATATATATATATATATATATATATATGTGTGTGTGTGTGTGTGTGTGTGTGTGTGTGTGTGTGTGTATGTATGTATGTATGTATGTATATGTCGCTGTCCCCTGACGTTTGCGTAGTCGATCGTCGTACAACACGACAATTTAACCATTTTACGCATGGGGCACTAATCCTACACGCACAAAACACACACACACGCACACAAAGGCATATATATATATATATATATATATATATATATGTGTGTGTGTGTGTGTGTGTGTGTGTGTGTGTGTGTGTGTGTGTGTGTGTGTGTGTGTGTGAGAGAGAGAGAGAGTTTGTGCCTTTGTACGATATATAATAGCATCCGGAATAAAAATGACAAAGTGGAAAAACTATAAACGACGCCTTTCTCCAAAAGCGTCTGCTGTCATGACCTTCCTACACCTAGATTTTAACTTGAAGAAATAAAAGGCACTAAACGCTCTTGACGAACCGCATCGTTAAACCGTTTCCACTTTGTCCCATTTATATACATATATATATATATATATATATATATATATAAAAAAAGTGTCTGTATATAAATATAAACATATATATATATATATATATATATATATATATATATATATATATATATATATATATATATATATATATATAATATATTATACATATTATTTATATATTATATGCGTGGTACTTATTAGAAAGCGCTCAATATCAGAGATAGAGCTAATATATTTAGTTGGATTGATGTGAGTTTGTGACCCTGGGTTTCACGCTTTTGCGATCGTCAAAACAACCAAATATATAAATATATATAAATATATATATATATATATATATATATATATATATATATATATATATGGCTTCGTTAACTTGGTTTTTGGAGTTTTTTTTAGTTCAATGGAAAGAATATATGTCTGGCTTTTTTTTTATGAGTTTTCAGTTTTTTTTTCTCTTCAGGAAACAAGAGTGTAAAAAAGTCTAAATAAAAATCGAATCTGTGACACTTCCAATATCAATACATTTTGAAGAAAAATTATAAAAGAGGAAAAAATACAAAGTTCAGTAATGACCCCGACGAAGCGTTAATTTCAAGAAAATGGTCGTTGTCAAATGTTTCGGCAACAGGGATTTCCACTTATTGATCTCAAACGAAGAAAGCAGACGATAATTTTTCTTGACGCTTTCTTTCTTTTTTATTCCTTGTTGTATCATTTAAACGAATAATTACGACTTCGTTGTTTCTTTCTGATAATGCCTTTCCAATGGGGCCATCCCTGAGGGCCAGAGATATGAAAATGGTGTAAAGAGCCTTTAGAGACCTGTGTAAATGATTGAGCTATTTAAAGGTAGGCCCTTTTAACTTCAAACCTTTTTTTTTTATTGGGGATTTCTTTTAAGGATCCCTGCGTAATGGAATCATTTTTTTTCTTTTGTTCATTTTTTTGTTTCAATCTTTTGTTTATTTTTTTTATTTCATCTATATCTTATTCTTTTTCAAATTTTCTTTCTTACGTATTTCTTTTTTCTTTCTTTCTTTCTTCAAATTTTATCATATATTTCTTCTTTTCTTTTTCTCCTCTCTTCTTTCAAACATCATCTTTTCTTTCTTTTTCTCCTCTCTTCTTTCAGAC